CCACCTACCACCTCTGGAGTGGCTGTAGACACAGTGTTCAGATCCAATCACCGCTCCTTCTGCTGAACTCCTCGCCGCTCCACGAATTGATTGATTGATTGATTACTTGAGTCTGCTGATGCGCGACCAATTAATCAGTCAACGTCGACCGACCAATCGATCAATCGACTCCACCAATCACTATAGTGAATTGACCGATCAATCAAGAATCGAACAATCAATCAACTACACGAATTACTGCAGTGCTTCTCGATCCGATACGCCGTCGTTGATTGCGCAATCAATCGACCAATCAACCAACCAATTATCCCACCGCCTAATGAAATCACGAGGACCGTTAGATAATCCAACATGGACCGATCGCCACGTCAACCAATACTTCGCAGAAACGGCCGCCACGTCTTCACAACAGCAATCAACGTCAATACCAATCCACGACTACTGTGATCGATCTGATCAGCAAATCACGCTCGCATGTGCACAAACTACGACACAGATCAGTGTTTACTTCCACGCCTTGTTTACTTTTCTCCTTTCGATCCACCTGTGCCGTGTCGAACCCCTATCTCCTACCCGATCTGTTTCTGGACGCTTTCCTCCTGTCTTTGTCAGCCCCTCCCTGCTTCGGCGCCCAGCCACCGTGATTCTTCCGTTTCCTTTCCGCCACGTGGCGTGTCTCGACTTAGTCGCCTGTCTTGCTCCCTCCCTTCCTCACTTGTGTGTTGCTCCTCTCTCACCCTTCGCCCCCCTTTTTGCGAGTTTCCGAGCGATCCACGTATTCTCCATCCGCCGGGCGCATGCGGTCCCCGTCAGCCGATCCACCCCCCTCGGCTGTGCTGTTCCTCCTTCCTTCCTTGTCGAGCGGGCCACCTGTTTTCCGTCAGCCGAGCCATCGTGTTCCCTGCCAACCGATCCGTCCCGCTTGATCCGCTCTATACCGTCTCTTCTCCTCTTCTCTATTCCCGTTGCCCACTCCGTCGAACGTCTTTCCCCCCCTTCTCCAGTCACCTTCGTTTATACCTGTCTGATCTTCCTGGATGAGCCAGCGCCGTACTGCTTCCTTGATACTCCCTTGTAGGTCGATTACACGTCGGTGCACTCTCACTCTTAAGCCATAGCAAGGGCTCTCTCCACTTTCTCTCCGCTTGTATCGGCCCTAGATGCCACGTGATGACAACGTGGCGGCCGCGGATTCCCACGTGGAACCCCCTGCGGGGGGTCAGGTCACTCGTCGCGTCAACCCGTGACGAGCCGTGACCCAGCGCCGATGCGTGGCCGCGCGTGCGCCAAGAATCTAGGGTGGCCTGATAGGCTGTGATAGCCTTTTCAGCCAAGGGTGGCCTGATAGCCTTAGGGTGGCCTGATAGCCCAGGGTGGCCTGATAGCGTTAGGGTGGCCTAATAGCCTTTTCAGCCAAGGGTGGCCTGANGGTGGCCTAATAGCCTTTTCAGCCAAGGGTGGCCTGATAGGCTGATAGCCTTAGGGTGGCCTAATAGCCCAGGGTGGCCTGATAGCCTTAGGGTGGCCTGATAGCCTTTTCAGCAAAGGGTGGCCTGATAGACTGATAGCCCTAAGGTGGCCTGATAGCCCAGGGTGGCCCATAGCCTTAGGGTGGCCTTTTCAGCCTTGGGGCAGGAAGCTGGTGGCCCCATGGGAACCTCCCACAAGGACTGAAGATGTCTTTGCAGTATACAATGTGGAAACACGCGGGCAGTGGTAGGAAAGACGAAAAAAAAAACAAAAAAAAGAACACGGACGTGGAAAAAGAAAAATAAGAGAGAGATCATTGATTTTTTTTATTTTTATTTTTGGTAACTGGGGTGCAGTCACGAAAGCAGTTTGTGAATGCATTTGGAACTGCCTGTTTGCAGTCCAGTACCGCCACAAGTTTCAACCGCAGTCTCTCTCTCTCTCTCTCTCTCTCTCTCTCTCTCTCTCTCTCTCTCTCTCTCTCTCTCTCTCTCTCTCTCTCTCTCTGTTGCTGGTGTGTGGAGTTAATCTTGCCCTGTTTTTTTTTCCGTTTATTTTCCCTCTTTCCCTCTAGTACCTCTACCACCCACCTGTCCCCCCACCCGTCCCACACTAGTCACAATGTTCCACATACCTGGCTAGTGGGATCGCCCTCTTGGAATCGGAAGTTCCGCCTGTGGAACGGTTGCCTTGCGGAGAACATTGGCGTTTTTTTTACAAGGGACAGAGAACATCGGCGTTTGTTTTTTTTTTGCCTCCGAATTCTGAGTTTTTTTCGTTGTTCTTTGGTTGTTTATTTTTGCGTTTCATGTCGTCTTGTGTTTTCCATTTGATGTCCAGGTGTTCTGCACTTTTGCGTTCATCGTTTTTGCCTGTTTCATAGCGTTTCTTTGCCGCTCTGACGCCGACTTCGATCTCTGTTGCGAGTTGGCAACATTCTAAGAGGGTTCCGACATCGTTTTTTTTTCGCGGTTGGCGGCTTTCATCATGTCGCAGGACCGGGGGAAGGATCCGGTAGACTCACTCATGACCGCCCGACAAGGTCATAACACAAAGACGTTTGACTCGCCGTTCAAGGTTGACCCGAAAATCGACGGCAAGAGGGACGACCCGGTGTGGCATTTCATAGCCAGAGGGCGTTATTTGGATGGGTCGACGACGGCGGGTAGGAAGAGCGGTCGTCGATGCCTGTGTAGGTTGTGCAGGTGTTCGATTTGTGGGGGCGCTAAAGCCGCCAAGAAGCACTTCTCGAAGAGCGAGAAGTTCCGATGTGAGGCAGCCACTCCTGCTGTGTGGAATGCGATCTGGTTGAAGGACATGACAAAATGTCCGAAGAAGTTCGCGTCGGCCATAGAAACGTTGCAGAGCTTATTGCTAGGCCATCCGAGCTTGGAGTGGCCACCTCTTCGATTCCCCGAGGATGCAATGTCGCCGCTGGTTCCTCCCACCGCCCCTTCAGGAGCGGTCGCATCGCCCAATTCTGGGGCTCCGGCCATTCGAGACACTGTACCGCGTCCTGCAACAACAGTTGCAACACGACCGGCAGCCCCGCCGTCTGCGCCGCTGGTTGGGACACGAGGTGCTCGCGATGTGGGAGTTGGTCGTTCCACGCCAGCCAACGAGCCCCCGCCTGTGGGGGATGGTGTGGGCTCTGCGGCATTTGACGAGGCGAGCACTCGTGCATTTATTGAGAGTCGCAGGTGGGGGGGGAGTGCCGGCAGTTCAGCGCCCGTGCTCGCCCCTGTTTTCAGGAGTGCTAGGCAGTCAGATGCCGCACGGGGTGGTACTGCGGTGGCACCTAGCGCATCGCCCCGCAGTTCGTCGGAGCACCTCTGGCTGCCACCGCCACCGTCGAGAGCGGCGCAGCGTCCTGTGGTCCACCACACTCACGGAACCGCCCACCTGGATCCGTCACACGCACCTGCTGATGCTCGACAATCTGCCTCCGTGCCTCGTTTCGGGGAACAGGTGGATCATGGGGTGCCTGCCGAGGAGGTCCCCGCTCCGGTGTATGATTCATCGCCGACCCCTATTCCGACAACCACAGCCGGTGGTCGGTCTGCCCCACAGCCTCCACCCGTGTTGACCGGATCGTTAGACCCTTTGCAGCGCATTCGTGACCTTGCAGTCGCCCAGAGCGCGACACCTGTGAGCCCTGGCGGGTTGTTGGATGCTGGGGTCCTCGGCGGGAGAGCTACGACGGGATGATGTCGGGGCACTTACAGGCAGCAAGCCGTCACGTCACATTATTCGGACCCTTTGGAGTGCGAGTGGCATCTGCAAATCATGCGGTTCATCGTCGAGAGTGGGATGCCGCTCAACAGCACGAAGCTTGAAAGCTTCAAACGCATGTTCACGATGATAATCTTGTCGGGGGTTCCTGGGGCGCCCGCGCCTAGACTTCCCTCCTCTCACATGCTGCGCACGACCGTTTTGGACGAGTTGGATGGTGAGGTCCAGAAGTGTGTTCGGCCGGTGCTTGACACGTCGAGAGAGACCGGTTGCACAATCATGACCGATGGTTGGACCAACATGCGTGGTCAGACGTTGTGCAACTACCTCGTTGGTACAGAAATCGGGGTGGTGTATGTGTCCACCGACGTCATGCGTGACAAAAAAGACGTCAGTGCCCTTGCCAACGCATGGTTGAAAAGGGTGAAGTCCATGGACATTCAATTGAGTGACATCACGGCGTTCGTGACGGACTCCGCCGGGGTGAACGTCGCGGCGATGGAGGTATTCCAAAATTATGAGAGCGTGAAACACATCTTCTGGATTCCTTGCGTCGCCCACATCATGGAACTCATTCTCGAGGACATCGGCGGGATTGATTGGGTGGCTTCCCGCATTGCGCAAGCGAGGCTGGTTACAAGGTTCTTCAAGCGCCATGGACATGCGAGAGAGGTTCTTGAGGCGCACTCAATGAAGACTCTTCTGCTGCCGGCGGAGACGCGTTTCGGCATGAACGTCATCATGATGGAGAGGCTGGTGGAACTGCGGGCCGCGTTGACAGATGTTGTGGGTGACGATCGCTGATGCGAGACTGTTTGGTCGACCAGCAAGATCCGCAAGGACACAGCAGAGGTCACTGCATGTATCGGCTCCCCTCCATGGTGGGAGGATTTGAGAGCTCTATGCAAGATGCTAGAGCCCATCATGGACATGCTGAGGTTGGTGGATAGCGACATACGCCAGATCAGCAAAATTCTGCGACGTTACGAGGAGATGATTGCATCTTGTTTATCCGCATGTCGTGACATTGATCGGGAGCAGCAGGACGCTATTGTGGAGGTGTTCCTCGGGCGGTGCACCATGTTCAAGACCCCCGCCCACACGGCAGCCATGCTGCTAGATCCAGAGTTCCGGGACGCGACGTTGTGTGACGATGCGGAGGTGCAACAGGCCTTGGTCGAGGCCCAGGTACAGTTCGGTTACCCGGAGGATTCGCCGTAGCACCGGGAGGTCCAACGAGCGGTCGCCAAGCTCCACACGAGGGAGCCCCCTTTTGATGAGCTCACCATGCGGTGAGCTGTGGATCTCTTTGATCACCCTGCGAGTTTTTGGTCCTCTAAGAAGGCGAAGTTCCCTCATACGGCCGTGTTTGCAGGCAGGATCCTTCGTATATGGGCGATCGCATCACCGTGCGAGAGAGCCTGGTCTCGTTAAAGCTTCATTCATTCGAAGTCTCGCAACAGGTTGGAGGTTTCTCGGGCTGAGAAGCTTGTGCGGTGTCACTGGAACCTCAGGCTACTCGATCAACCTTCGTTGTGCGACGATGGTGTTTGAGAGAGGGCCGGCGTCTTCGGGAAATGGGCGCATTATTGGCAGGCCGTGGGGGACGAGGCAGCCATGGACCAGCAGCTCGTCAGAGGCACCGGTGCGCTGGCGAAGGTGACCGAGGAGGAGTTGAGCCTCGCCAGAGAGAGGATGCGCGCCGTTTTCCGCATGGGAGCCGAGCGTCGGGTGGCGGAGTCGGACAGGAGGCGACGCAGGGCCGGTGGTCGGGGACGTGGCGGCCATGGACGAGTAGGTGTCGGAGGACGTACACGTGGCGATGTGGGTTCCGCTCCTCGGACTCGGCGACAGCGGACGGATGGTKGCATTCGCAGGGCCCTCATGCGTTGGGATGAGGGTGACTTCTTGTTCGACAGCACATCCACCGACGCTGACGATTTCTTTGCGCCGGGAATACATGCATCCACGGGCGATGGTAGAGGTGACGCTGACGACAGGGGCGATGACA